ACCACCCACCGCCAACTCTTGGGCTACTCTTTTACCAACGAATAGTGGGATTGACCGTCACATTATAATGTACGACTGAAAGAGCGAGTATGTTTGGTGAGACGGGGATTCGAATCCGCGACTCTCAGACTGCGAGTCAAGCTCCCTAACCACCTGGCCATGTCAGGCCACCTGGCAGGCACTACAGGAAAAAAATCAATAACTATATTGATTAGATAATGATTTCAATGTGCTTTTGATCCAGCATAAACAAACCTAAAACCCACACTTTCCCTGGGGCAGGTCTTGGCAGTGATCATGGCTTGGTTGTAATGAATATCCAACTAAAACTCAAAATATTACAGAAGTATTTCAACTACATAGTAAAATATGGCATACAAAAACTTCAAGATCCTCACATAATAGACAAACTCCAAGCCAAAATCGGAAGGATTTTTCCCCACTTAATACGTGACGTCAAACCTCCCATTGGTCAAATAACAATACAAATTATAATTAAAAACATAGCTTTCAACAATATATTGCAGGGAAAAATTTTAGTAGAGAACAACAGTACTGTTGTATATTCTATATAATGTAGTTTATAATGAAGAGGAGAAACAGTATTTTTGATATATATTTTACGTATTATAATGTACGAATAAAAAAAGGATGTCAGCACATTTGTCATTTATATGCGAAATAAATTTAAAAAAATAATAAGTTGTAATAAGTAAGTTAATTATAATCATGTAAGAAGAGTATGAAATGAGAAAAAAAAATTAAGTAGAACATTCTACGATTAATAATAACAATAATTATAACTATAACAATACTGAAGATTATCCTATATTCTTTCCTTAACCCTTACTCTACTTACAACAATTAACACAGGTTTTCTCCGTGATCAAAACGTGTCGGCTGCGCTGCAGTAACCACTATCGGGTTTAGCGATACGATGCCTTCTAATTGTTATTTGTTATGTCACGTGCCACTTGTGCAATAATGTGAACGGAACTTGTCGTATATTAAGTACTTGCCTCGTGCTCTTAAATGTGTTTTTCCCCTGCTTTTACGTTAATGAAATCCAATTACTAAAGCTTGTGATTCTTCACTTACATTGCCCAGCAAACCCTTTTCAAGCGTCTAGGAACTAGGAACGTGGCATTCTTTTTGAAGCGTCTATGAACTAGGAACGTGGCATTCTTTTTGAAGAATCTATGAACTAGGAACGTGGCATTCTTTTTGAAGGGTCTATGAACTAGGAACGTGGTATTCTTTTTGAAGGGTCTATGAACTAGGAACGTGGCATTCTTTTTGAAGCGTCTATGAACTAGGAACGTGGCATTCTTTTTGAAGCGTCTATGAACTAGTAACGTGGTATTCTTTTTGAAGGGTCTATGAACTAGGAACGTGGCATTCTTTTTGAATCGTCTATGAACTAGTAACGTGGCATTCTTTTTGAAGTGTCTATCAACTAGTAACGTGGCATTCTTTTTGAAGCGTCTATGAACTAGAAATGTGGCATTCTTTTTGAAGGATCTATGAACTAGGAACGTGGCGTTCTTTTTGAAGTGTCTATGAACTAGTAATGTGGCATTCTTTTTCAAGTGTCTATGAACTAGTAATGTGACATTCTTTTTGAAGCGTCTATGAACTATGAACGTGGCATTATTTTTGAAGTGTCTATCAACTAGTAACGTGGCATTCTTTTTTGAAGTGTCTATGAACTAGAAATGCGTCATTCTTTTTGAAGGAGTCTATCAACTAGTAACGTGGCATTCTTTTTCAAGTGTCTATGAACTAGGAACGTGGCATTCTTTTTTCAAGCGTCTATGAACTAGGAACGTGGAATTCTTTTTGAAGTGTCTATGAACTAGTTACGTGGCATTCTTTTTGAAGCGTCTATGAACTAGCAACGTGGCATTCTTTTTACCAATGCTGCAGCTTTTAGGTACGTTCTTACGAGAGGTAAAATTATTTGGTTAGTTTTGAATTTCTCGAGGACAACCTGTGCTCGCCATCCATAATTTAGCAGTGATAAACAAGAGTAAAAACAGCTAGTCAACACCAACAACTCTTGGACTACTCTTTTTACCACGGATTGGTCACATTATAACGGCGCACAGCTGAAAGGGCGAGCATGTTCGGTGACGGGATTCGAACCCGCGACCTTCAGATTGCAGGTAAAATGGAGTCCGATAAAATACTGCCAGTTCATTGGCTGAAAAAACAAACCAAACCTTAACGGGAACATATTTCATCACCTACAGAGAAACAAATTTTTACTACGAAGGAAAATTTGAAGCTCGTTAGGTTTATTTTTGGAGCTGGCTTATGGTTATGATTTGATAAGTAATGAATTAATCCTGCGCAGTGGCGTATCTTTGGGGAGCATAAAGGTAAATTACCGAGAAATAGTACTGATGCTTTGTTTGTTTCTTTTGAATTTCGCGCAGGGCTATCTGCGCTAGCCGTCCCTAATTTAGCAGTGTAAGACTAGAGGGAAGGCAGCTAGTCATCACCACCCACAGCCAAATCTTGGGCTACTCTTTTACCAACGGATTTACCGTCACATTATACAACTAGAGGGAAGGCAGCTAGTCATCACCACCCACCGCCAAATCTTGGGCTACTCTTTTACCAACGGATTTACCGTCACATTATACAACTAGAGGGAAGGCAGCTAGTCATCACCACCCACCGCCAAATCTTGGGCTACTCTTTTACCAACGGATTTACCGTCACCTTAAAACGCCCCCACGGCTGAAAGGGCGAGCATGTTTGGTGTGACGGGGATTCGAACCCGCGACCCGCAGATTGTGAGGCGAGCGCGCTAACCACCTGGCCATGCCGGGGCCCAGTACTGATGCAATGTAAGGGAGACATTTCTCCATCTTTGGAAAACGTTAGGGTGGGGGGTCATGTCTTCTGTGTAAAATTATGCCTATGACACTACCACAAATTTAGGGCTGCGGATCTCCGGGCCACAGGAAAGTGTCAAGGGGGTTTAGCGAATACACAATACTACTAAGGTACTCAGTATATACTGAGTGGGGGGTCATTAGTTAGAGTACGGAATGATCTGGGGGCTGAGAATGTTTGAGAGCCCCTGCTCTACGTAACAGAGTGATATAACCTAATTTGATATAATAATATCATTTTTCATTTCACAGGGCTTTGTTCTGACATTAGTTATGTAGTGATTTTTGGCAGGCGGTCATAACTTTGAACGCTGTTTTGATTCATATTTGTATAATTTGCGTTTAAAAACCTAAGAAATATCTTGCAAAAGTGATAAATACAAACATCCCACGTGTTGTATTTCTAATAACTCTGGCGTTGTTGTGCTGTATGCAAGAGGAGATTCAAGCACGGTAGGTGGCAGCACAATAACGACGTGTTGTACTTTCTTCATAAACATCTTCTGGTGTAAAGTTCTTTCGAGCAGACTCTTTGAGTTCCATGGATGTGTGTTATGCTAGAGATTAATGCCACCTCATTTGAGCCCTTTGACTTTTTCTCTGTATAACTTTCCTCGGACACAATTCACATGATATCACAGGAAGAAGGACATATTGAGCACGTGATCCATTGAACATCCCAAGTGTGTCGTGTACTTTTGACAAGTTTCGTGTCGTTCAGGTGTTATACGACACTTGTTCAAATACAAGTTATAGAATGTTACAAAACAACGCTCTATAATATAGAAAAAAAAGCTCAGTATTGCATTAATTTTTGTTTGTTTGTAATTAAGCACAAAGCTACACAATGGGCTATCTGTGCTCAGTATTGCATTAAAGAAATAAATGAATAGAAACAAAATAAAATGTTTTTTATGTTGTATTCTCCATAAAATCTATAGTATTGATCACTTTTGTATCAAACGTAATTGCCCGTCTAATGTGTTTCTAATCGTGTTGTTCATTTTCACCTTTTAAGCTCTATGCCCTAAAGAAGGCGTGGCATTTGACCCCCAACCGTTCGGAGGATGAACCAGAAAGTGATGAAATAGCTAAGATTAAAAAGGTACGTTCTAATTACATCAGTGAGTAAATTTATAACATATAAAATATGTTTTAAAAACATGACAGTTAATGTTTTCACTCTGAAGACGTTAATAAATGCTAATAAATTTTTAACATAGAAAACGTGTTTTAAAGACATGAAAGTTGAAGGCGTTAATAAATTCTAGTAAATTTACAACATATTTTTAAAACATGACAGCTACTGTTTTCACTCTAAAGATGTTAATAAATACTACTAAATCTACACGCACCAGGAGGGGCATTTTGTTCATTGGCCTCACGGGGATGTCAGGACGGTGTGTATGCACGTCATTCGCCAGCAGAAAAGGGGGGGTTGAAAATGACTGTCAAACTCGTGAAAATGATAAAGTGAATAACATAAATGGTCTTAGAATCCCCCTGGAGCATATCAAAGAACTCTTGAAAATTTCATAGTGATCAAAGATCGTGAATTTGGAAATTTTTGTTCTGAGCAGACAAACAGACAAAAGTTTTATAGGAAAAAAAACGATATACTGAGGTCAGTATTTTCAACCACAATAGGCACAAAGGTGAGGTTAATAACCATTAAGGTATAGTAATTCCTAATTTAGGACTGTTGACTGGGGGGTGGGGGCTAATAAGTCAGCAGCATCAATTACCTACGCGGTGCCTGTTAACGAAATTATGGGATTGAACATCACAGTTAAAACGCCCCCACAACAGCTAAATCTGGAATGTTTCAGCGACAGATTGGAACATCACAGTTAGAATGCTCCCACAACTGAAAGTACGGAGTGTTTTCAGCGACATACTGGAATACCACAGTTAGAATGCTCCCACAACTGAAAGTGTGGAATGTTTCAGCGACATACTGGAATACCACAGTTAGAATGCTCCCACAACTGAAAGTGTGGAGTGTTTTCAGCGACATACTGGAATACCACAGTTAGTATGCCCCCACAACTGAACATATGGTGTGTTTTCACCGACTCAAGTGTTTGACCGAAGCCTAGAAAAACAACTCATAATTATTTCATGCATTTTATTTTGACTTTTTTTTATGTAATTGGTTAATATTATGAAAAATTTCCCGTTCAGTAAGGAAAGAAATAAAACAATACACAAGAGGCCGTACTTTTTTTTTTTCCATGCCGTACTTTTTTTTTTTCCATGTCGCATTAAAATGAACAAATCGATAAATATTTCTTTTTCAAAACAAAACGTTGTTGAAAAAAAAGAAGTCAGTTGAACAGATCAGACCATAAAAACAAACGTTAAAAGGGGCGTATGTTTAATTTATATGCACGTTTAGAATTTAAGAACTGATATCTTTTTTTTCTAGAACGAAGTAGCGAGATCAAATTCTACTTAAAATTTAAATAAATATTGTTGTTCTTCTGGCGTTTTTGCTCCATCGATTCCTGTTGTTTTATCACAAAGTTTCTCTTGGTTAGAAATGATATTGAGTTTTTTTCTCGGCGATGAGTTATGTTTCGTATATTGGCTGATCTTTTCATGGGTGATGTTGATTTAATCGCACACACACACACAAACACATGGGAATATGCACTGCGCATGTGCGAGTACTGTTTAATGATTAAATTAAGCTTTTGTTTCGAACACTCACATTATTATTAAAGAAGAGGGATATATAATAATTAAGCTCTTCATTTTCCTCAGTTTTATCATCATCTATAGATATTTCCAATTTTCATTCCATTTTCCCGTTACTGATGTGCCTCGTCCCAGCGGTAAGCTTTGGTTCTTATAAAGCTAAAATGAGGGGCTCGATCCTCGTTGCGGAAACGGCACAGATAGACTACTGTGTAACGTTTCGTTAAAACAAACAAACATTGGTCATTCAGGATTTACTTGTTATTTGCGAATGTTGTTATATCACTTGTTTGTTCGACGTATGTTATAAACCTGCTACAGCCGACGTATGCTATGAACCTGCCACAGCCGACGTATGTTATAAACCTGCCTCAGCCCACGTATGTTATAAACCTGCTACAGCCGACGTATGCTATGAACCTGCTACAGCCGACTTATGTTACAAACCTGCTACAGTCAATGTATGTTACAAACCTGCTACAGCCGACGTATGCTATGAACCTGCTACAGCCGACGTATTACAAACCTGCTACAGTCAATGTATGTTACAAACCTGCTACAGCCGACGTATGTTATAAACCTCCTACAGCCAACGTATTTTACAAACCTGCTACAGCCGACGTATGTTATAAACCTGCCACAGCCGACGTATGTTATAAGTCTGCTACAGCCAACGTATGTT